TTTCCTTAACACAGTCCCACAGTCCCCACTTTGAACAGGAAAGTCCAACTGCTATTGGCACACGGGCGTTGCTCACTCTTCAACTACTTCCCGCTGAATTGGGGCGTAGAAGGGGCGCTGCAGTTGAGGTTTCCTCCAGAGGGGAGTCTTCCAGGGGTGCAGGTTGATCTAGAGGTTCAAGATGGAACTTATGAGCCAAGGACATCCAGGTTCCATTTGCAGGATTTCTGGCCTTATGGCTTTAACCCTTGAAGAAACGAATTTGATAAGAAGGTTAAAGATGAGAGACCTGAAGGCCAGCAATAATAGAATGGTTATAAACGGGCCTAGGAGAGGATAGAGCCAGGACAGCCAGTTGTTGAGCAAGCTCCACCATACTGTTTATTGGGAGTCTTTAGCCCTGTGTTTGATTCGGTCCCTGAGTTCTTTAAGACAATACCTGATTGGTTTATAAAGTAGCTGCATTCTTTTCCTGGAAAGACAGGTTCCGGCCGGGCATGGTGGCTCATGCCTATAATCCCAGCACTTTGGGAGGCCGAGGTGGGTGGATCACGAGGGCAGGAGATCAAGACCATCCTGGCCAACATGGTGAAACTCCATCTCTTAAAAAGACATGTTCCTTCTCTCTCTGCTGTTAGCAGATTTAGGGCTCTTCTATTTTGAAGCACTATGGCAGATAAAGAGTTAAGTTGCTTCTGCAGAGTGGGCTGCCTCTGCAAAGAGAATTACCAACCTTTTCCATGTTATTCTTTAACTCCTGAGACAGCTTATAGTAAAACTCAGTAGAGGTAGTAACTTTTCCAATGCCAATACTAAGTTCTCCTATTATTCCCTCCCCTGCTCCCACTATGAAAGGATTAATTGGAGCTTGAGAGTCTGGTTGCAAATAGAAAAGTTAAGAGTGATAGTCCTGGCCGGGCGCGGTGGCTCACACCTATAATCCCAGCACTTTGGGAGGCCAAGGCGGGTGGATCACGAGGTCAAGAGATCGAGACCATCCTGGTCAACATGGTGAAACCCCGTCTCTATTAAAAATACAAAAAATTAGCTGAGCATGGTGGTGCATGCCTGTAATCCCAGCTACACAGGAGGCTGAGGTAGGAGAATTGCCTGAACCCAGGAGGCGGAGGTTGCGGTGAGCCGAGATCACGCCATTGCACTCCAGCCTGGGTAACAAGAGTGAAACTCCATCTCAAAAAAAAAAAAAAAAAAGACTCATGAGTAGTTACTTTCCTGGGGATCTCGTTGGAAGAGCAAACGTAGATCCTCTGATGGCTCGCAGGTGTACAAAGGGACACCTCCTGGAACTTCAGGCTGCGGAGTGGAGGGCCTATGATTTTCTTCAGGTGTCCAAGGCTTCAGCCAAGTGCGATGAACCCACGAGTCAGCTCCCGCCACCTTAACTGCCACTGGGGTAGACAGAATAACCAAAAACGGTTTTTCCCAAGGTGGGCCTAGAGAGGGGCGGAGTCTGAGGAGACAGACTTAGCAAGCACTAAGTCTCCAGGGCAGGACAACTCTTTCCCTTTTTCCCTAGGGTGTCCTTCAGGTAAGGTCTTGAGAGCCTGTTGGTACTAGGACTCCCCGGACAGTTACATACTTGGAGGACAACCATCCAGAACAGGAAATTAAAATTGAGAATGCCGTGCCAGTGTCCAGAAGATTGACCTCCTGGCCCTCTATGTCTAGCTCTACCCGGGGCTCGGTGAGGGTGATGGCTTGTGCTGGCGCTTGCTCCGGGCACCCTCAGTCCTGCTGTTGGGTCATCTGGTTAGCCACCTCAGGCCCTGGGAACATTCATTCCCTGGGACAGTGTGTCTTCCAATGATCCCCTTGGCACAGTGGGCTAGGATAAGGAGGTGGTCCATTCCTCTGGGGACAGTCTCTCCTGAAGTGTCCCGTTAGGCGGCAGTGATAACAAGCTCTGCCAGACTGCAAGCCTTTCCCTCTTTTGAGCCCCTTACCTTTGCTTCCCTGAAGGCCATGACTAGGGCTGGAGCTTTTCTCTGGTCTCGTCTGTTCCTTTCAGCCTGTCCTCCTGGTCTTTATTATAGAACACCGAGGTTGCTGGATTTAGTAATGATTCTAGGCTCTGTTCTGGCCCCAGGGCCAGCTCGGTCAGAAGATCCTCACCCAGGTGGGCCGAAGGTATTGAGAGGCAGTCACCCAGATAGCCCAACAGTGGATAGCTCTCCAGGACTGAAGCCCTGAGCAGAGATTCATCCACGTATTTATTTGCTCTTTGACAGGTGATTCTTACTAACACGCAAGTGTTCTACATACACATATAACTCAAGAATATTCCAAGTAGGCAGCTGCTATCCACCCACCACTAATTAGAAGCTAAAAGGTATCCTTCACAAAGGCGCCATGGGGGCAGGGTAAACTTTAATGTTTCCCAACAGAAGTGTCCTACAAATCTGGGGGCCATCATTTCAAAGGATGGCTAGTTCCCATCAGAGAAATTTCCACCACCTTCCCTCGATATATTTTCCAGATTCTTGGGCAAACCAAGGCCTTCTCATTTGGAGAGTCACTTGGGACCTCTGGGAGGGAGGCTCTGGGAGGAGGGGCGTGGTCAGGGCTTTTTCCTAGGATGCAGAGTAATCATAGCTGCCTGTTCTGTTTTCCTGTCTGCCTTTTGGTTTTCTTTGGTCTCCAGTGTTCCTTACCTTTGGTGCCCGCTGCAATATATAACAGCCACCTTATTTTGGGCCCATACAGCATCTAGGAGCTGTAGAATTTCCTTCTTGTACTTTATTTCTTTTCCCCCAGCAGTTATGAGATGAACCAAACTAACTCCATCTTAGATGTGAGCCTGATTGACCCCATCTTGGCTTCTCCCCCCACCATTTCTCCCTCAGGTGCACAACTAGGTCATGCTGTGCACAACCTGGTCACACTGGACCCAGAATCTTGCAACCATTGTTACCACTTCCTGCTTGGCAAGCCCCCCTGACTATTGTGATCAACCCCCTTGGTAACCAACAATCATGAGAACCTCTACCTCCCCTGGCTACCAGTTTCCTCCCCTAACTTGCTTATTCTGCTTCTGTAAAATTCCGCTTTGCCCCCTTACCCTGAGCAACATGTAAAAGGAAATCAAACCCCTTCCTAGGGCCAAGAGATTTGAGCAAGAGCTGACTCTTGGTCGCCAGCAATAAAGGAACTGTGATTCAAACTCAGAGTATGGCAATCTGCATACAACTCGAACGGTTATAACAGTTAAGAGTCCTCTTTCCTTGTATATGGCTCCATGGACATGTAACGTGGCAAAGGCATATTTGGAGTCAGCATATTTGCAGTCAACTGTTCAACTCTTCATTCAATGCGAGCTTTGAATGAAGAGACCCCCACAAACAGACTTTGTGTGAGCAACATGGCTGTTTATTCACCTGGGTGCAGGTGGGCTGAGGCCGAAAAGGGTGTCAGCGAAGGGCAGTGGGATAGGAGTTGGTTTTATAGGTTTGGGGTGGGCCGTGGAAAGTTACAGAGTAAGATCAGTTACAGTGGTGGGGGTAGGGGCGAGGAGTATACATGACTATAAGTTCATTTATAATGGCAGGTGGAGTAAGGTGTAAGAGTGTTAAGATGGGGCCGGGCGCGGTGGCTCAAGCCTGTAATCCCAGCACTTTGGGAGGCTGAGGCGGGTGGATCACGAGGTCAAGAGATCGAGACCATCCTGGTCA